TATACACATCAGAATTCTAAGAACCCATCCTATAAAAATGGAGTGGGGATAAGTAAAGAGGGGAGGGTCCTAGAGGCTCACCTTTTAGAAACAAGCAGACAAAGAAGGATGGTTTCTTCCAAGTTGGCCTATTTAAATCAACACCATGTCATGCAGGGGAACCTTAATTGGGCCATCCTGAGCTCACTGGGTACGTTGATATTGAAATATCTGAAGGCATCAACCTGGCAGGGACATTCAGAATCCCTGGTCCCTCCTAGAAAGTTAATGTGCTCATTACCTGCATTTGTCATGCCTTGGATCTCGGCTGTCCAAATTGGAACAGACTCACCCATCAGGGCCGAGCCTTGATAGTCAGCCTGCTCATAGGACATGACTGGGCACAATCCAAAGTGACATGACCTGGGGGGTTACAGCAAGCACACATCTTACTTACCACAGATTATGATACAACCACAGTGGCAGCCCTAGGAGAGGCAGGCTTTGGGAACTGGGGAACCACAGCCCCAGGCAGGTACTGGCAATTGTCACCTTGCAGATTAACTTGTCCCCGAAGTCTCTAAGAGCCCAAATCCCCATTTCTCTGAGTCCCTACTCAAGTGAATAGAGGGGCACTATTCATTTCTCCCTTTCACCAAGGCCAGCTCTCCACACTGATGGGGGACAGTGGGGCCATAAGAGAGCCATTTCCAGTGGCATTTGCTTTATTAAAGTGGAAAGGCAGACAGTGAAAGAGAACTAGATTGGAATAGGGCAAGAAAATAAGATTCTCTGTGGGTAGGAGAGGAACAGAGAAAAGGAAAAAAAAATGAACCAAACCTCCTCAAAGCACAGGGGCCTTCCTCCCCATTGTATTGGTGATTTGAATGGGCATTCAATTTTCCACTTTAACCTCATCCCTTCTTTGATATCTAAAGTATCACCTCATAGTAGCCACTTAAAGTTTGTCCCTCCTGGAGTAAAGCTGGGCCTAAATAGGATCACCTACATGCAGGCAGCTAATAGGTCTAACATATTTGGATCCATCCCAAGAAGACAGAGGAGCCTTCAGTTTTTCATTCCAATAATGGTCTGGGCAGTTGGAGGATGCTTATGACCATTTCAATTCCTTCTCTTGCCCTGAAATTTTGTATCCCTGTTAATGGAAATCCACCCCTGTCTCCCACCATTAGCATTTGGGATGGCATGACCTAGCCATTGCAAGGGTGAAATCCTGAACCCAAAATTAAGAATCAAATTACTTTTTTAGCAATCAATCTACAACTGAACACATAAATTCAACTTTCCTTGATGATTCAGAAGGCATTTTGGGAATTCGCCACAGCTACTAGGCCATCAGTTTCCATGGTATCAGTAAAATGTAGAATGGAAAGGCCACCAGAGATCCATCTGATGGAATGTCAGGTAATAGTGAATCTTGCATACTAGGAATGTGGGAAGGAGACTCCCCGAGATCTTCATAGCCCTTTAAAGATAATGGGAACCAAAATGACCACCTCCTTTAGCCAGACTGACAGATGTCTGTCTCTCTTCCACCCTTCTTCCATCACCACCATCCCCAGAGGGTATTTGGGATCAGTGTGGCCAAAACTGACCCAGGGCCAACCCACATTTAGCCAGAGCCAGATTCCACAGTGAAGACTTGTTTTTCTTTGTTTATGTGGTATTGGAAGAATAAAAAGGCAAAAGATGCATTGAGTGATGACTTGAATTCCATTATTTATGCAAATAATCTCCTTCATCACTTCAGTCTCTGTAGTAATTAGCCCTGTGGAATTCAGTTGGGGCAAGACCTAACATCGTAAGGCCTACATAGCACAGAAACCATTCTTATGAACCTGGAGATTTGATGGGACTTTATAAGAACTGGTATCCTATTCTCTGTTGTGTAATATAACCCTGGAGAAAATTTGGGAGATCTCAGGCATTAGAATGTCTTCATGAAAAGAGGGAAAAAGGACATTTTGAAAGAAGAGCTTGAAGGAATAGAGCAGAACTCAGGGTAGCTTTTAAGGCTTCTGTTCCAAGTTGTCTTCTAAGCTGAATTCCTTTAAAATAGAGAAATTGGCACCAATGTGGGAATCTGCAATGGGAAATACATTATTATACATAACAATTGTTGTACTTGAGAGAAACTATCTGGAAAAAAATAACACCCTAGAATAAATACAAATGAAATTCATGTATCAAAACCAGGACTGTGAAAATAGTTTAAATGTTTCTTGAATTTATATCTAGTCATTAACCTAAATGCAGATTTTTGTTCAAGCTACACTTCTGCCTCATGGTCAGGAGGCCCGAAAACTCCTGGTGTGGAAAATTGGCAGAATAAAGTGGATTGAATTGGTCTCCATGGAAAAATAGATTTTGGCAGCTGCAACCTCCTTCTTTCAAGCATCCCTGTCTTGTCCCATTCTCCTCTCCACACACATGCCTCACCTGTTTCGGCACTACCCTTCCTGCCTCTTACGGCTCCAAAGAAAAAGGGAATAGAGGAAGACCAAGAGGGCAAAGCAGCAGACAGATCATGGTGGGGCTCTTCTCCTTCAAATCCCTCTTGGCTCTGAGTGAAGAGAGGCTCCTAATGCCTTCCTAACCTTAGCAGCCAAATGGGAGCAGCTCACCCCATCCCCCACCCCCACCCCAGCACTCAAGGCAGAATTCTCATGCCCCTGATGCCTGTCCCCCAAACGTTTCCCCAAGGGCTATATGATGCAGTGGAGAATTAGGTGCCTCAAGAGAGGGCTCCAAAAGCCCCAGGTGCCTAATAGGAATTCCCATCCCCTGCTGAGCTCCATTTTCTCTCTTCCTTCAAAAGTATAAGAGGAAAGCACTAGAGGCAGCTGTGCCTGGACAGGCCCGCCACAACCATTGGAAAGCAGTGACAACTCGAAAATCAATCAGTAAGCATTCATTAAGCACTCACTGTGTGCCAAGCACTGTGGCAAGCTCTGAGGATACAAAGCAACAGCAAAAATAGTCTGCCCTCAGAGCTTGTATTTTAATGAAGTAGACAAAACATAGGAATCAGAATATATGAGATGCACGCAGTTTACCTGGCATTTATGCAGTGCATTGGGGTTTGTGAAGCAATGTACACATTATCTCATGTGATCCTAAAAACACCCTGAGAGGTAAGTATTGTTACTATTCCCATTTTACAGATGTGGAACCTGAGACTGAGAGATGTTAAGTGACTTTCCCAAGGGAACTCTGTCTGAGGCAGAATTAGATCTCAGGTCTTCCTGACTCCTGCAGTGTAGCACTCTATCCATTGCACTATCTATGGAAGATAATTTCAGAAGGAAAGCACCAGCACTTGGGTGGTCCAGGAAAGGCTTCCTGGAGAGGCTGGGACTTCAATTGAGTCTTAAAGAAAGCCAGAGATTGAAGAGTTGGCGTTTGGGAGGGAGACCATTCCAGGTATGGAGAACAGCCTTATAAAGTCATGGTGGTGGGAAATGAAGTATTTAAATAACAGCAAATAGGCCAGCATGGCTGCATTGTAGAGTGGGTGGAGGGGAATGGAATGAAAGAAGATGGGAAAAGTAAGGAAAGGTCAGGTTGTAAATAGCCTTAAAATTCAAACAGAGGACTTTAAATTTGGTCCTGGAGGGAATGGGGAACCATCGAATTTTATTGAGTAAAGAGGTGACATGGTGAGACCTAGGCTTTAGGAAGATTTCTTTGGCAGCTCGTGGAGAATGTGCAGATTATCTGCACAAGTCTTGCCGATTTTGAGAATCCATTTAACTGAGTTAATAGGTGGGGTTCTTGCTAAGGCGATTCTCAAGTGCCTAGTTTGAAAGCCAGCTTGGAGGCTTCTTCTAGGAATCATGTGTTCACAGTCTCTTTTAGGAGCAAACCACAGCGTGGCAAGGACCTCCGCCCCTTGCAGGTTCCAGCATCTTTTTTCACACCTTGGAATGAACGTCTCCATAAGCCTTCCTTGCCCAACATCACCATACACACACACACACACACACACACACACACACACACACACACACCTCCTGCAGGGCATGCCTAACGTTAATGGCATGAACGTACCAGCAGCCCTCAATCCAGTGTCCAAGCATTAGGCATGCAGTGTTTGTAAAGGCTTTCTGTCTGCATGAGCAGTCACATTCCCTAGCCAGCTGAGCAGTGCACCCCTAAACACCAGAGCTATAACAAGCAATTTTCATACCTACGGCAACACTTTCTGGTGCAAGCAATACCAGCACAGGTAAATCTAGTGAAACACACCCTTGAGTCAACCTAGTTATTCATGATTTGAAAATAACTCAGGAAAGAATTAAAATAAATGCAGTTGAGGAAGGAGAATCAGCTACCTGAGTGACTCAAGGGAGATAATCTCAGAGCTGGAAGGAACCTCAGAGGCAAGTAGTCCAACCTCAGGATTTGGGCTTCCATGTTCTTTGGAAATCACTAACTTCAACAAGATTTCCTGGTGCACCAGCAGCACCGATTGGGGAGGGAGTATCAGAATAATCACTCACTGTGTTGTGGTCAGTGCTGAGGGAGTACAGGAGAGAGACTGGTCATCTGGAAAAGAGAAAGGGAACTAGAAGCCCTGGGGATGTGACAGGGCAGAATCTTGGGGATTTCTTCCCAGAGTGAAGGAAAAAAGGGAGGGCACAAGCAGGCGACAGTCCCCGGCCCCATCACTTCACAAGCTCCAACCTTCTTCCTACTTATCATTAACCATATGATCTCATGCTCTCCTAATCTTCTTCCGCTCTGCTCAAGAACAAGACACATCACATTTTCATGCCTTCTAAAATCCTCCCCCTGGGACAAAGTTCCAGTGGCCCTGGGCTAGGTCCACTGCAGCCAGTCAGGTATTTTATTTTCAATACTTCCAACCCAGCCAAATCCTTCTACAGAAAGGTGCTACTGCAGAGTGAGCATGCAGGCTATCTCCTGTAAGTGTTGTGTCCGTGTTCTTTTCCTGTAACCCTCAGTGGTTTTCACTGTAATCTTTTCTCTCTTTTCAGCTGGTTAATAACCCACTAGCGAGTCAGGCAGCGGCAGCAGCTGCGGCAGCAGCAGCAACCATGAGCTCCATAGCGAGCTCGCAGGCTTTTGGCAATGCGCTCTCCAGCCTTCAGGGGGTCACAGGCCAACTAGTTACTAATGCCCAAGGACAGGTGAGTGGGAGTTGGGAGAGGAGGAACTTCTCGTGGCAGATGTATCTGGGAAAGGAAATGTTTGGTCTGGGTTTTTGTTTTGCATGACGATGATATGCGAGCACACATTCTGGAGGCAAACGAGCATCGTTTGCTAGCCAAGCCAAGCATGAGCGAAGGGTTGAAAAGTCATTTCTTTTTTATAACCTAGAGTTCCCTGCCCCTGGCGTCAATGGTGGCTCTTCTACTATCCACATAATCCCTCAGAGAAGAAACGAGATGCAGTGCAGAGAGGAGCCCCCTAAGGTCAGGAAGACCAGCATCTAAGCCCTGCCTCTGGCAGCTGTGTGACCTTGGACCAGGTACTTCTCTGCCCAGTGCCCCCATGACTCTAAGTTACAGAGGAGTCATTGGTCTGTGTCCATGAAAGGCAATTCACATCAGGAGATTCTCCCACCGCTGACATCACTGGTCCAGCACAAAACCAACTGACTGGTCAACCAAAGACACTCTTGTCTCTGATTGAAGAAGTAATATTTTAGTACAGAGACACACGTGAAGACTCTGTGAGTTTGTCAGCTTTGGGAACTCCTGGATCTGGAAAGCCTTCCACTTAATGCAGAACACAGCCCACCTGGGATTGATGGCAATTGCTCCAGGCACAAAGTAAGTTAAATTATATTCAAGAGTCCTAGGCTCAAGGGTGGAGGAGTCATCAATTTAGAAGGGATCTCTGAGGCCTCCTGGCCAACAGCTCCTGTAACAGATGAAGAAACCGAGATCCAGGAAAGCTAAGTGAGCTGCCCAGAATGACGCAGGAAAAAGCACTGGAAGGAAGATTGAAGCCCAATTCTCCCATTTCTCAATCAATCAATATTTGTTAAGTGTCTCCTATGTGCCAGGCACTGTGCTAAGTTCAGGAGATACAAAAAAGAAATAAAAGATAGTTCCTACCCTTAGGTGCTTACACTCCAATGGGGGACTGACATCAAGCCCATCACTACCTGCTATACCCCACTTTCTCACAGAAACACACCTTTTAATCAAGGAATTTTCATAAATATGTATATAGAAATATTATATATGTAATCTTAAGAAACAAGAAAGGGAAAGGAGGAGGGATAACCAAGCCATCTGCCAGTTGGCTTTACCCTGTCTGCTTCTTTCAACACCCTTCTGCTACTTCGGATGCTCTTTTATCATCATCAATACCAGCCCATCTATGGGGGCCAGTGATCATCTGTCACCAAGTTAACGTTGATGTCCCTTTCACAGCCTTAGAAAGCTCACAAATCACGATAACAAATGCATTAACGAGGCTTCCTAATCATGGAGTTTATCAGCCTGATAAACCAGCATGCTGTGATTCAACTCGAGTCTATGTTCAAGCTGCTATCAGACTTTCCCCTGAGATGAGATGACCAAATTCAGGTGTAAACATCCTTGGTGAGACCACCGCAGTCTTCATTCTGAGAAGATAAGCTCAAAGAAGTCCCTTCTTTACAAAAATATTTCCTGACAGAGACTTTTGCTCACCTAAAAGCTTACTTAGTGCATTCTGGGGCAAAGGGGATCCTGCTGCCTCCAACTTTGTTTTTATTATACATGAGGAGTAAACAAAGATGCAATGGTAGCTAAAATGCCCGCAGAGAAGGGCCAAGGAAAAAATGCTGACCCTGTTCTATTTCCTGGGTGGGTGCAGAATTGTTCTATCAGTACCCAGAGGGTTGAACGATGGAGCTTGTCAAAGAGAGCCCTTATCTAATGAATCATCTTATCGCAGGGGCGCACCACACATATTAAAGGGGGATTGTATGAACACTGTGCCCTCTACAATAACCTCTCGATGTCTACTTTAACCCTTGTTTCAATCCCTTTTCATCAAGGGATCATTTTATGCAGCCAGCTTTAAATGGTGCCTCTCAAAAGCCTATTAAGATTTCTGGAGGGATGGGGGATTGGGATGGAAGAAAAGTTGGTTATAATGGCCATAAGTCATAGTCAGATCAGTTCCATTTCAAAAGCTGGTTTCTTGATATCTGTGCCACAGAAATAGACCAACCCTGCCTCTTCTTTTCTCCTGGGATGTGCTGGACTCTTTTTAAGATGCAAATTGGAAGAGAAACCCTCTTCTCTCATCAGTTTACCTATCTGGTTTTCCTGTTCAAATGCTCATGTAGAAAGTACTTCCATCCTTCACTATTCTGGCATTCGCAATGATTCTATGCTCAAAAAAAAAAATACATAAGGAGCCAGCTGAGCTTTACTTTGCTGGTGAAAAAAATACCCAGGAATGCTACAGGTTGTAAAGGCAGCAGGAGGGAAGATCTCTTTCCTGCTCAAGGGCTAATGTTGGCATCACTTGTTATTTGCATAGATCTCCCCTGCTACCTGTCTGGGAAAGAACTCCTCTGTTCTGTTAACTTTTCAAGTGCTATCCACAGGCATTGAAGGTGGTTTTGAGTAAAAGCTGAGTTTATTTAAGTCAGTTTAGAACCACTGGTTTATTGGAGAACGTGTTTACACAGGGAAATGTACATGACTCCCTCCCCCACCCAAAAAAAACCTGTTTCTTTGTTAGCTTCAAAGTAAGCATTGAAGTATCAGGGTCTAGAGCACAGGATCAGCTGAGAGCATACTACTTTCTATTGGTCAGTCACTTCCCTGACAAGAAAAGTCAAAGACTAGAGGTTCATTGCCTTCAAATCCTTCCATTTTCTAGTAGGTCAAAGTGAGGCAGCATGGAAGAGTAGACAGGACAGCATTTGAGTCAGAACAGCCTAAACCATAGAACTACCTGTTAAGAGTTATAAATTACTTCTGAGATCATCTAGGTCAGGGGCTCTTAGCCCAAGGTCCTGTTTTTTCTAATATTTTAGTAACTTTAGTTTAATGGTTTTGTTTCCTTTGAAATTCTATTTATTTTGTCCATCTAATGACCTTATTCTCAGAAAGGTTCCCTAAGATTCATCAGATTGCCAAGGAGTCAACCCTCTCATTTCACACATGAGGAAACCAAGGCCCAGCAAAGTTCAGAGACTTCCAACAGGCCACGCAAGTGGTAGGTGAAAGAGCCTTCCACTCAGATTCCTACATAAGCCTTGGCACCATTCCAGGCACATGGGAAGAACTGATTCAATGCTGCTGGAGTCGTTGAGTGAAGCCTAAATCCACCCTTGTGCTCCCAGTGCTTAGTTCTGCCTGCTGGGGCCAAGCAGGAAATAATCCAACCCAGATCCTCTGACTCAAATCTAGCCTCCTTTCAACTCCGGACACCTCCTAGTTATGGGAGCATGAGTACTGCTCAGAGCCTCTCTGGGCCCCAGGCATCTCCTGAGGACTATTAATTATCGACAGGCCCTTTGTATTGATTGGCATTAGTGGAAAGAACTGGAGCACCAGGAGTTTCCCAAAGAATGGACTTCCTGCATGCACCGGCTGACACACTCCCAGGAATGAAAGAAGAAAGCTTCCTAGACCCAGGTTAAATGTTTTCTTCACCCTGACAGGCCCTATTATGGTGTCAGCTCAAGTCTAAGCTGCAGCCATATGTGCTCATGGTGCTAAGAGAGCCAATCACTCCCCAAACCTCTGAGCTCACACTGCAGAGAGGGGAAGTCATCCTTCCTTTTCGGGGCTCTTCTGGTGCCCTTTGTTCATGAATCCAGTGCTAAGAAACTGCGATCCTAGAAGCAGAAAGGGCAGATCTGGGCTCAAAAGGGGTCCTTGGCTCATGCACCACAGTTAGGAGAGCCAACTGCTTAAGGGACATTCCATTCCCTAGAGAATTTCCATAAAGCTTTAGTGCATCTATCAAAGCCAATTCAAAAGAATGTGCACCAAAGAAAGAGTGGGCATCTCAGGTCGCATAGCCAAAAACAGCTGGGGGACACTAGGAACATGGAAGCAAAGCTTGTTTGTCAGTAGCTTGGGTAATTTTGTACATACCCTTTGGTTGCATATGTTTCTTTCTTTCTTTTTTTTTTGGCTAGGCAATGACGTTAAGTGACTTGCCCCAGGTCACACAGTTAGTAAGTGTTATGTGTCTGAGGCTGGATTTGAACTCAGATTCTCCTGAATCCAGGGCTGGTGCTCTATCACGATCTGGAACGGACCTCAGAGGTCATCTAGTGCAGCCCTCTCGTATTATAGGTGAGGAAACTGAGACCCAGCGAGACAAGGCCCCACCTCACACAGAGCATCACAGCCAGCATCCATCCGAGTCATTTTTTAAAAATGCAGATGATGACAATATCCACTGACATCTTGATTAAACACAGCCACTGGTGCCCTCCCTCCTTAAGTTAGTTTGGACTTATTTTTATATGTTCTGTATGCAGCTCGTGCATACTTATTTTGTGCATGTTCTTTTCCATTTGAGTCACATTCAGTTTTTTGTTTCTTTGGTATCCCGAAGGAAATTAGTCCCTTATTTTCATTTCCAAGAAGTTTTTAAAAATCAAGGAACCCATATTAATTCCTATTAACTTAAAAGTAGCAGAGGCAAGGCACGTCTCTGGGGGATCATTATTATAGATGGCTCCCAATTATGATTTTTTTCTTCCGCAAATCTAAAGACGAAGTTGGATTTCCACAGGTGTGCTGAGGCCCTGCAGTGGCCTATTCTTCAAGGCTTGTCCATGTTAATACAGGGATCCCCAAAGAGCCCCTTGTACTTCTAACATAAAAACCCTCCACCTGAGGACAAATGCAAGTCTTGTTCACTAGTCATTCATTCCATTGGGCCCATCTTTGGAGCTTTTTAATCTATAATTAGCTGTCACACCCAAATAAGGGGAGCATCCTTGTTGATTCTCCCTTCCCCCTCCCCATCTCAGATAACAGCAGGGTCTACTTTGGTCCTCATTATCCTCATGAGCCAACCGTTTGCCTTCTGAGCTGCTTGACGTTAAATGGTGCTAATGACGCCTGATGGCTGGGCTGCTGCTAACAAGGCTCCCGGCAGGAGCAGCAATGAGAGTGATTACAATGGAGATAGATTGGCTGGGATGGTTTGCTTT